CATCGAGGGAAGGGAACAACCAGTAAAACCTTTTAAATTGTAACATTAAATTGGGTTATTTTAGTTGCTTATTGATTTTTAAGTACTTTTTTAATTTGTGTGTTGTTTGGTAATAAGCATTTCGAGTGTATGGAAGCAAGAAGTGTTAGTACGTATTCCACTAAGAGAACAGTAAGGAAGTGAAAGTCATAATAGTCTTTCTTCTCTTTCCGCCTATAAAAAGTAATTAAAGCATAAAAAAAGTATTTTTTATAAGCTAGAATGTCCGAGAATCTAAATTTATTTTTTATTTATATTTATATAATAATGAAAAGGCAGAATGGCGTAAATGGTATATATACTTGTCCCACTTTGTTATACCGGTCCTCATGGCCTAGGACGTCATGGTCCAGGGACATCATCCTCACCGTCTAAAGACAACCTTCATGGTCCAAAGTGAATTTGCATCATGTTTAAATTCTTGCAATAACCCATATATATTTGCATGCATCGTGTTTTAAGTTTTACAGGTAATCCAGGATGTAACCGTTCTTCAAACGGGAGCAATCTTCGCTCCGATTTTTGTTCATAACGTTCATATCTCGCAATTGTTTCTAATGTAACCAACCATCAGCTACCCACTTTTAGTCGATAACCGTTCAGATACCTGCCCTGTGATACACCCATAACTTCTCAAATTCACTCATGATTTCACATAAATTCATCCAATACTATTCTACCCCAAAATAACCTTTTCCAAAACATACAACCATTCCTATAACAACTCGATCGGTTTCGTTCNTTAAAATAAGAAGAAATAATCATTGAAATAAGAACTAATAATAATTATAGCAAAAATCTTATGCTGTGATGATAATTTTTTCTTCTATCTCTGAACAACCGGCGTTTGCAGCCATGGCAGTGTCTCCAATCTCTTGCCTTGTCTTCACTATTATATATCCAAGCCGCCCCCACCTTTTTTAAAGAGCTCACCAACCTGTTTTCTAACCAGTATTTTCGCTACTTTATTCTATTTTTCCAATATGCAAATTTTAGGTTACACATAGTGTGTGGATGCTGACCAATTTCTAGATATGCCTCTCTGGGCACCTACAAGCTCTTTTACTCCATTTTCAAAAGAATAAGGAGTCGTAGATTTGCAGTTGTATTCTTTCCCTACTACCTTATTTTTATTTAGTGAAAAAAGGATTACGCTAGGGCACATAAATCTACCAACGTGACAAAAAGACAAAAAATAAATTATATAATTACTGCCCCTCTCTGTACCGCCATTGATTTCTTAGATTTGAGCTACTCTCCGTTTCGCCATTGATTTTCTCGATCTGAGCCCCTATCTGTTCCGCCATTGATTTTCTTCCATTTTCAAAAAAAAAAAAAAAAAAACCAACAACCCGGCAAAAGCAGAAGCAGACATGATTTGAGTGGGCTTTGGACATAAAAATCCAGGCAAAGATGAGGGAGAAGAGAGGACAGACAGAAGTGGTTCATACTTTCTAAGCCCTAACTAAGCAGATAAGTGTAAAATGAGGGAAAATTTTGGGTTTGGGAGGTAATAATCATTTCTTGTTTTATTTTCCTATATGGCCATAATAAATGACCTAGAGCCTACGTGGTCTAATTTTCTTGACGTGGCTTCCTACGTGTAGGAGATTGCATTACACGCACTGACGGCCTCGTATCATAAGCGTTTATTATACACGGTTTGAAGGAGTGTAAGTGCATGGATGGCAAATTGTTAAGTTTGGGGACCGGCATGACAAAGTGGGACAAGTATAGGTGTTATTTAGGCCATTCTGTCTAATTAAAAAGAGAGGAAAAAGACTACACATTAAGCCAAGTGGTAGCCTCATAATAGGCCACCTGGCAATTTAGGATAAAGTTAGTTAGATAGGTAATAAATTTGGAGTTTTAAAATTATTTTAAAATAAAAAAATAAAAATAAAAAGGTTACCAATTCGACTGGGGAGTAATTTCTTCCTAATAATATAGTCTATATCTATAAAAAAAAGACTAGCAATATTTTTTTTATAAAGTAAATAATTTGATTTTGAATTTACAGATAGAAATATTTGAGAAGTAAGGTGCCAATTGAAATTTTTTTAACACAACATGATATAATATAATAAAAATATAAATTATAATTTAAAATAATGAATATTGACCGCATAAAGTACGGGTTCTAATACTAGTTACACATAAACACACATTCCCACACATACATTGCAACCAAATGGTTCCGATGAATACTTCATATACAACTTTGTAAAGCTCTAGTCCAAAAACTCTAGGCTCAAACCTGAAAAAGGAGCTTATCTCCATTTATTTATCTTTAGGGAAAAATTACACGACACATCAAATATTTACATAGTATTTATCATATGTAACTATACTTTCAGCAAATTTACCATTTGTAGCTATATTTATATTTTATAAAAAATGCCTGAAATAAGAGATTATTTGAACTGATACAAGAGATCAACAAGCCTTTGTAGCTCAACTGGTTAGAGGGCTCACTTAGTTAGTGGAGGTCTTGAGTTCAAATCTCAACAAGAGCATTATATTTTTCTGTATTTCACCTTAGTTGTATTCGTTGCGCGAACGAATACATTCAATATAGATTGTATGCTTTGTATACTATATAGGATAAAATTGGTTCACATTAAATACTCGAATAACAGAATGACACTTGGAATGGGGACAGGCGGAAGACGAAGCAAATGGGAGTCAAGATCGAAGGCAACAACTTCGGTTGACATCGGGTATACCCCAAAGGGAACATTATCAACAAGAGCAAACAAATATTTTCCACCAGATGACATTCAATGAAGAATATTCCTCAGCATTAAATATACATCCGTTATAGAGAATTTTGGCATTCATAACATGTCGTTACATATTCATCAATGACCCTCATTATTGTCAGTTAAGAGGGGTTTGATCCTAGAACCTTCTTCCCTAGGTTTAGCTATAAATAATGACTTCAACAGCCATTGTAAGATATGAAATTTCTGACAAACTTATGTTGCACATTATTCCAAGCTTAATATTACTTCATTTTTTGTCTAACAATATTCTTATCACTGCCTTCAGAAGTCTTGCTCCCGAAACCAAGTCGTCTGCTATTTTATCTCGATTGCAATGCTAAGTCTTGCATTTTATTTAATTTATTTATCATTTTGGGGATCAAATCGATTCGTTTGTCTATAAACCATGCTATAAATTCAACTGTACCGTTTTACGAGTAAACAGTTTGGAACCCATCGTGGACTTAGACAGTTGCGTAATTGAGTTGATCCTTGCGTCTATTACTAATTTGTTTGATTCTTTGTTTCTTAGAAAAAATCGTAAAAGACGGCAGATAAACGATATCAACATCACACACAACATCGAGGCACAAGAAAATCCACCTCAACACGAGGATTCGATCAACGACACCCGCAACAAGGAAGACGTAGCCACGCCGATTCATGGTGGGCGGTATCCCCGACACATACGGGAGGCGACTCGCGATGACGCTAAAGATGATTACATTGTGGAAACGGTGAGGATCTTGAGAAAACAACAAAAGGTTATCATGAGCCATCTCTCACAGCAAGACCAGGCCATGACAGAATTGAGACAAGCTTTGTCTGGTGCTTCCAACAACGCGAATGGAAGAGGTCCAATTCTCCCAGTGCTTCCGCAAATCAAACAATGCAAAGGGTTGACAAAAACACCTCGAGGGGTGAGGTCGGCTTCGACGAGGTCGGGGGGGACCGGTAGCGGATTTAGTAACAACAACAATAATGATTCCTTCAAAACCGAGAGGAAAATAAATGCCTGAATGGTCAAAATTCCAGGCACACCGCTAGTGTTAAAGTGACCGGACTTATATAAATACACCCAGTTGTCGTTTAAAGAAAGCGTGACACCAAAGTTGATTCCGATGCGGTTGAAATTGCCAAAAGTACCAAAATATTATGGGACAATGGACCCTCAGGAGCATATCACCACGTATACAACAGCGGTGAAAGGGAACAACTTGGCTCCCCACGAGATTGAGTCGGTCCTGCTGAAGAAGTTCGGAGAAACCCTCATGAAGAGGGCCCTGACATGGTACTAACTCTTACCCGAACACTCTATAAATTCCTTCGAGATGCTTGCAAACTCTTTCATGAAGGCCCATGCCAGGACCAAGAAGGTACATGCCCGAAAGGCGGACATGTTCAAAATTATGCAAGGAGAGTCCAAATTGCTGCGTGAGTTCGTGACCAAGTTTCAGAAAGAAAGGATGCTACTACTTGTCGTGCCAGATGAATGGGCAGCTGAGGCATTTACTAATGGGCTGAACTCGAGGAGCTCTAACGCCTCTCAAAAAATGAAAGAAAACCTGCTCGAGTTCAGATCGACCACATGAGCAGATCTCCATAACCGTTACGAGTCAAATATAAGAATAGAAGATGATCAACTTGGATTCCTAGCATCAACCAAGGGTCGAGATCGATAAAATAACATAGATAAGTCGAAGGATGATTTAGATGCAGATCGGCGATCTTCTAAGGGCCGATTTTGTCCCTATGAAAGGGCCGAAGGACATGGTAGAGGGTTCTGGTCGGTAGAGAGGTTCGCACTCGATAGAAAAACTGACCGTACATGTCATTGTAAGATAAAGAGCTATCGAGTTTCCATGATTCCACTTATCCTAGACTGTTCGAGTATATTTTTAACGTTACGTAGTGGAGCTGGTATCGGTGATGACGAACATCAAGGAAGCACGGTTCCCGAGGCCGATGAGGTCTGATCTCAGCTATAGGGATCCTAATCTATGGTGCGAGTATCATGAGGCTAACAGACACTACACTAGGGACTGCCAACATTTGTGTGAGGAGGTGGAGATGTTGTTGAAAAAAGGCTATCTCAGAGAGTTCTTGAGCGATTGGGCTAAAAACAATTATGGTCGCAACCGGGATAATGCATAGCCCTCGAAGATAGGTGAAGACCCTCCCCTAAAAACTATCAACATGATTTTCGAGGGAAACAAGATCAACGGTGTGACCTTCTCGGTAAAAAAAAAGACAAAGGTGTCGGTGACTTATAGCAAGAGATTCCGGGAAGTCGCCGAAGATGATATCACATTCACAGAAGAGGATGTCGATGGACTTCTACTGCCACACAACGATGCCCTGATAATCTCTTATAACGTTCTGGATTTTAAAATTAAACGTGTTTTGGTGGACCCGGGGAGTTCAGCCAACATCACTCAATGGAGAATGCTGGAGCAAGCCAAGCCAACTAGAAGCATCATTCCAGCCACAAATCTCCTCGTCGGGTTCAACTTAGCAAGAGTGACAACCCGAGGGGAGATCTTGCTGCCCGCAAATGCCGAAGGGGTCATGAAGACTACCTTGTTTGAAGTAGTAGATGGCGACATGGGCTACAACATAATTCTTGGCAGACCATGGCTACACGAGATGCATCAACATATCACCAACTTCTAAAATTTTCGACTCTGGAGGAGATTAACCGACGGCCAAAGAAATGAACGTGATCTCGATTTCCAACAGTAAAGGGAAGGAACACACGACATAATAATTACAATAATCGGTGCCTGCTCTCGAATCAAACAAAGATGACAAGGGGAGGAGTCAACGGAATCCCACTAGGTGCCAAGGTATTTCCAGGTACCGAAAGAAACAGATGCGACCAAGTCCACAACGGAGGAGCTCGAACAAGTAGCATTGTTCCAAAAGTTTCTAGAGAGGAAGTTCTACTTGGGGACAGGACTAAACCCCGAACTCAAGTCATGATTTATTGAATTTCTTAAAACTAGCGTTGATTATTTTGCATGGCCACACGCGGATATGACAGGTATCTCGCTAGAGGTGGCCGTGCACAAGTTAAGTCTGGATCAAAACATCCCGACGGTAAGGCAAAAGAAGCGCCCAATTGTCGAGGTTAGAAATAGGTTTGTTAAAGAAGAGGTAAATTTTTAACTGTAAAATAGTACAGTTGAATTTGTAGTTGGTTTACAGACATGCGAATTGATTTGATATCCAAAATGATGAATAAATTAAATAAAGTGCAAGACTTAGCGTTGAAATCGAGGTACAATAACATACAACTTGATTCGGTGAGTAAGGCTTCCGAAGGCAGCGATAAGAATATTGTTAGACAAAAAATGGAGTAATATTAAGCTTGGAATAATGTGTAGCATAAGTTTGTCAGAAATTTCATGCCTTACAATGGCTGTTGAAGTCATTATTTATAGCTAAACCTAGGAAACACGGTACTAGGATCAAGCTCCTCCTAAATGACAATAATGAGGTCCATTGATGAATATGTATGCTATGAATGCCAAATTCTCTATAACGGATATGTATTTAATGATGAGGTATATTCTTTATTGAATGTTATCTGGTGGCAAATATTTGTTTGCCCTCGTTGACAATGTTCCCTTCGGGGTTTACCTGATGTCAACCGAAGTTGTTGCCTTTGGTCTTAACTTCCATTTGCTTCATCTTTCGCCTGTCCCCGGTACTATGTGTCATTCTATTATTCGAATATTTAATGTGAACCGATTTTACCCTATAAAGATAGCCCCCAGCTTTTCAGTGGCACATCTTTGTGTCACACTGAAGTTGGTGAAGATTCCTTTCTTGTCGGGAATTTTTTTGAACCCTTCTGAAAGGTTTCTGGCGCTTGTTTAGACGCACGTCTCTTCGTATTTAATACCCCGAATACGTGTTACTCCACAATTTAAAAATATTTTTGCTGGTTCTTGGGGTAATCATGACTGCAATTTTAGCCTCATATTCCTTTACTTATACGTCTCATTCTTCTTATTTTACACTTAACAGTTCTACAAACTCTCTCAACTTCTTTGCATTCAACTCTTTGCTTCTTTCACCTTTCTTCACGAAACTCTTATCACCTTCTGCTGATTATGGCTACCTTTAATAACTCTTCTAAGAACTCCGGTCTTCTCTTCGGTGGAGGGTCCGAATAAGAGTGAAGACAAAGAATTCGATGTTAATGCTGACCCCCCTATGGTGAGCACCATCATCCCCAAATGTCCATACACAACTAAGGACTTTGAAGAAAAGTTCCCTTCTTCAAGTTCTCGCACTTGGGTTGTTAGCATATACCATTCTTCTATCCGTCCTTCCAGCATTCCTGCTATGAAAGAGGACTGTGATTGCCATGACCTGAACATCATTGCTCCCGAACTGGTGGAGCGAGTAACCTTTATTAAGAAGGGTTTCATGTATATTTATACGTACCCATTCACTTTGGGTGAATTTTCTTTGAGCGTGGGACTAGACCCTGTTATTTTGGAGATGTCCAATGATACCAAGTCTATTTGGCACAGGTGGGCCTTTCAGTATGAACGGTGGTCTATCTGCAGTGGCTGTGCTAGGAAACGCAGGAGGAGTTCACCTTGACTCAAAGTATGAATCTCTACTCCCCCAAGATTTTTCGGGGGGGGGGGGGGTGTAATAAATTTTAGCAAACGTGGTCACCATTCTTTGCGCACTAGCATGGCTGGAGTTGTTTGTTGTTGTTGCTACCAGGGATATCATCCCAGCCACAACTCCATCTTTCCCTGAGCCCTGGAGTCGTACATGTAAGTTCAAAGTCTGTCTTTTTCTAAAAGAAGGTTGTTTCATGTCATTGTTTATCTTTCTTCTCTTATTGTTTCAGCAACTCGGTGGACACCACCAAGAGTTGAAGGCCTGGACCGATTGGTTCAGAAGATTCTAGATATCACCACGCCTGAGACCCGCTAATAGAAGGAGTTGGACCCTAAATACGGATAGAAGGTCAAGAATCATGGTAAGTTAACTGATTGTGCCCTCATTTCATTTTTGTGCATGAGAAAATTGGTTAACCTCTCTTTTTGTTGAATTCAGGTCTCCCGCAGAGCTCTGAGGAGGATGTTTTGGTTGATCCTGTGGAGGCTACAAGGTTGTTGAAAGAGGTTCTCACCCGAACAAGCACCATCGGGTCTGCTTCCGGTGCAAATGCTTTCTCTCGAAGTCCCTGGCCGGAGAACAAGCAACCAAAAAGACGACGTTCTTCCTCGGCCGAGGGCAAGAATAAAAAGATAAAAAAAGCTACGCCCGAGCTAGCCACAGTCATTGTGGTGATTGACAATGATGGGGAATCCAGTGTTCCCTACAAAGGAGATAACGTCCTTCATAAGCTCAACAAAATGCTCAATCTGAAGAGCTTATAAACCCAACCGGGGACGATACCCAAGCGCTCTAGGGAGAGTTTAACTTGGTGGAGAGTACAATTCTCCATTTCCCAGTTTCTACTCCCGGTACTATGCGACTGAGTACCGGGCCTCTTCCATCTTCGATAGGTGAGCAACCAACAACGAGCACTGCCTCCGCCGCAGTTGTTTCTCATCCCACAACACCATTAGCTTGATCTCTTTCCACGCAGGCCATACCTTCTTCACTAGAAATTGCTACATCACCCCCACTGGCCGCAGACATCCGAGAGGAAGATGTTCCTCCTCCCTAGTCCCAGACCATGGGAGTTGGGGGAACAGCTATTCGCCCCCTTCTGCAGATCCCTAGAGGAGGATGAGTGTCTCCATCTCGATATCTATCGAGTGCCATCTGTTGTCCGGCCGGTGGAACTCGCCAATTACCTAAAGTCGCTAGCTTCAGAGAAAGATAATAAGAAAATACACTCTCTTTCGGGGGAGTGTATGATAAATAATGCCATGCACAACGCCGTAGCGGTATTATACTTGTTCTCTTTATTGCTTGTTTCTTCTTGATTTGCTTTGATAGAGTTTCTAATTTGGTTTTTGCTTCTCAAGCCAACTTCCTTACTTCTGAGGGCCCTTAGAAGTTGATCCTCGATAAAGAAAAGCTTAAGTCCGAGCAGGATCAACTGCTGACCAAGAGGGACAAAATTGTTGCTCGCCTCCCAGTGCTGGAAGCAAAAGCTGCTGAAGCTGGTGAGTTGGAGGCTTGCAGTAGAGTGAGCAGGAAGTGATGGCCCTCAGTTAAGAAGCCTCTCCATTAAATGTACAGTTTCAAGAAGCCAAGGCTAAATGGTCTGAGGTCCAAAATGTTGTGCTTGTTCCTGCAGCACGAGGATACCTCCATTGAACGAGTGAGTAACCTGGAGGCAGCCTTAAATTCCAAGACTGTAGAGGCCGATGCGGCCGAGAAGAAGCGTGCCCAAATGGAGGATAGGTGTAACAGGATCATGAAGCATAATAAGGTTCACATAACCACTATCTGTGATCTTGATCTTAGCCTTAGCGCCGCGAGACCCGAGTGGGACGGCCTTTCGATTAAGATTGATCGGCTTAAATCATACTCTAGCACCGAGCACATTCCCTAATCATTGAGAAAATATATTCTATGTATAGCATGAGGATCAAAACCTTGGAAGAGACCAAATTGGGCATCATTGATAATGACGATGAAATCGCCAAGGCCCGAGAACTGGAGTCAACCGCTCGAAAATGCCTTTCGGCTCGACGTGATGCAGCGTTTGATAAATAAGTGCTTTTTGTTTAATGATGAAGTCCAAGATCTCGAGCCGGCGGCATATCCACCTACTTCTCCTAGGGGCGATGAGGCTTCTCTTCCCCCGAGTTCTGTGGGTGATATAGTTTAGTTTTTTGCTTTCTTTTCCTGTGTTGTTTACTTTTTGTATTTTTGTACTTGTGGTGCTTAGCACACTTGATAAATAAGAGTGTTTTTTGTTTAAGTATTGCGCAAAGTTTACTTTTTTGTGTCGAATTATACAAGACTTCGGGTGCTTTTTCCCCGATACCATTCGGGTTCCAGGCATAAACTCTTCCGGAACCAACCCTTTACTGTGAGAGTTTCATAAGAGATGGCCCTCTAATGTTTATGGTGCTCTCGAATAGGACGTCTCATGTTTATTCTGGCACTAGCATTTGAAGAACTTGATTAACTTTCAAATGATAAAATTAATTCATTGTTTGGACAAGAAACACGATAAAAATAAAAGGACTTTATTTTATTCCGTTTATCATCAAAAGTACATAAGCATTCATGTTGCTGAGAGAAAAGAAATTACCATTACTTGTAGCTAATTTGTACAACTTGTTTCTACGGGGCTGGCTATGCAGTCCCTGGTCTCGATGAGACATTTTGTTCATGGATTTCATAGTCCCAATTTCTGTGGCAATCAGATTGATGTGTTCTCATATCATTTCCCCCAGTGTTCGAATACGAAGAATGCAGATTGGAACACTGGAAGTCTTGCTCATTTGAGGATTCCACTAGTGAATGGTTGGATAATCTTTGGTCCGATAGCAAGCTTCGTTTTCCCGTTAGGAACTTTGCTACCAAGCCAAAGATTATCTAACCACCCCAGTGTCTTGAAGGGATGGATCATTCGTGAACGGTTGAATAGCCTTAGGTTCGATAGCAAGCTTCATTTCTCGTTAGGAAATTTGCAATCGAGCCAAAGACTATCTAACTGTCCCGCAGTGCCTTGT